ATCCGGAAGAGCGACGCCTAATTTTTGGGATCGCGTACGCGCGTTTCTGAAAACGCGCGCCCGCATCGCGCGAATGTATATCGAGTCCATATATTTGTGAGAATTCGTCATTTATAACGCCGATGATAAAAATCTTTTCCATATACCTGGAACCATTCTGAGCAGTTCAGATAATTCGTAAATGATTTATTTGCTTAAATATTTAACGAGACCATTTAATAAGACGCGCATAAGTATCATTTACTCGAACGAGAATGCCTCATCAAATTGACTTTATATGATGAACGCTGGCTAATGAATGGAATATTAAAACGTAACACAGTGAGTTATTCATAATAACGAAGCTAAGTCAGAAAGGATTAATGTAATTTTTACATCGCTCTTCGCTTGTATGTGTGTGTGTGTGTGTGTGTGTGTGTGTGTGTGCGCATAAGCCATCACAAGTACCTATCGCGTCACGGCCCGTAATTGTATTAGCGACGGCGAAGTACACACAGAGTCCCTCTAAACCCGTCTATTTACTACGCGTATCTGAGATAATATTTTTCTTGCTCCAAAAGGCGAGTACTCGTCCTCCATTTTTTTCGTCCATCACCCGAGGGACAAACGGCACGGTGAAGAGGAAGCTCTCGCGGGCGAGGACATCGTCAGTCGTCGGCGCCGCGCGGTATCCTCCGGCGGCGGCGGGCGGGGGTAGGGGGTTGAATCTCGAATTAGTATTAACGCCGCGCGCGACTCTTTCGTGCGCTTTTACTAAAGTAAACATTTGTGGCGAAAAAAAAGTCCGAGCGCCGATGCCGATGAGCGACGACAGTTCTCGCTTAAATCGTCACCCTGACGGTGCGCTCTTTCTATAATTACGACGATGTCTTCTCTCTTACACGCGTATTAGTTCGACTGCGTTTTGTAAAATTTCAAGAGCCTCGCTCTCGCGCTCTCATTAATACCCGGAAGAAGCTGAAAGATGTCGTAAGAGGTCCAGGGATGATAAAACCGAGAGAGGGGACGCGACGCGTATTGATGCTGCAGCGAGCCGACGACAGCGTCGGCGCCAAGACTAGCCTTGTTCGCGAGGACTAATCCACGCGAGATCTTCATCGTGCGGCGGCAAACAAACGGAATCGAACAATTTGTTTTCGTACGGCGGCTAAGTAGCGACCCGCTATCCGGCACGCGTGTCTTAGAAGCGAGGGAGTCATCAATGAGAAAAAGAGAGAGAGAAAGAGAGGGAGGGGAGAGAGAGAGAGAGAGAGAGACGCGAAGAGGATACGCGCGGAAATAAGTGATGGACGGAGAACTGGCGAACGCGAAGAACGAGGAAAGAGAGGAAGCGCGCGACGGCGACGACGGTAACGAGGGCGAGGACGAGGAGCGGCGCGGAGGGCGGCGGCGGGCGGCTCACGGAGACGAGGCGACAAAATCAATTATTTTGTTAAACAACAAGCCGTGTTATGTTAGGTTTGCCAAAATAACCAAAACAACGACGCGCTCGCGTTTCTGCGTACACGCCAGTTCATTCATCCGCGCTCTCACCGCGCCCACCGCCATTTCCATTCATCCTTCCGCAGCGAGAAATTATCATCGAAACGGATAATCGGCGGCAAAGCGGTTTTTGCCAGCAGGTCGGGACCCGATCACACGCATCTCTGATGCAGGTGTCACTGTCATTATCGTTACGCGCATTATGTTGCCGTACGCGACCGGCGCAACGCGTATATTGCCAGAAATAAATTGATGTCGGGATCGCGAGGGAAATGCGTTTACCTGGAATACGTATTCGACTTTTATCTGTGCGTAGAATCGCGATCACGTACGTGATATATCTTTGAAAAAAAATCTCATATTTACGATGCGAAATAAAACGTGCGATAATTATATATTGTGTAATAAATACAGAATCAGAAAATTTCGAAGGGTTAATTACGTGTCCCGCAAACGTATTTTCCTTTAGACAATAAAACAGATACAGCAAAAATTAATATGTTATTATTATGATATAATTTAGGAAAATATGTAGATTTCCAAGATCACTACTCTTTAAATTTTTTTTTAATCTGTGGACATTTAATTTTACCACTTCATTCTCTCCTTAGATATAATTATGATCTTGATTCATGATTTTTGCGTGATTTCACTAGCGTCTTTTAATTGCAACTATTACAAAAAAAAGTAAAAACAATTATATCTCTGATGAAATAAAATTTCTACAATATTCGAACATACAATATATCTTGAAAATTCTCAAAGATCGTACAGCGCACGATAATTAATAAATATATTATAAATATATCTTTTTCGATACTTTTACAATTTTTCGCAAATCCGCTCTCGAACCGCGATAGACATATAAATATTCTGGAGTGTCGCGTGCGCTAAAGAGGAAGGCAAAATTTCGCGAAAACGCGGCGCAAGGTGCATCGCCGGGCATCGGCGGGGCGGAGGGAAAGTTTCGCGGTATCATGAGCTGTGCACTCTTCAAAAAGTACGGAACGAACGAGCGAAGAAGCGATCCATTAGGTAGGAAGCCCCGGCTGACACGCCCTGACGCTATCAAAACACGCCTTAAAACTTATATTCCAGCGCCGGCGCGACGGTGGTAGTAGGAAAGCCGCGTACGTGAGATAAAATAACAGAGTGTAGTTAACAGGCTTGGGTAAAAATATTCACGCTAGCTTCCATATCTCCCTCTCGCGCGCTCGCCCTCTCTCCCTCCCTCCCTCCCGCCTTTCCTCTCGCTCCCTTTTTCCCGCTCCTCCCTCTCAATTTATCCGCGTCTACGTTTCTCTCTCCCTTCCTCTCCCTCCTCTCTCTCTCTTTCTCGCTTCACGTCGTTGCTTATTCCTGTGCGTTTTTCAGTCACATATTTCAAAATTTCGCGAAACGTATGTATGTACGTATCATTCGCATCGATTAATCGAAACGTCCGTAAAAACAGCAGCCGCTTGGCAAGCCGGCGACCGATTTTAATTAATTTCCCAACGACGCCGATCGGACGCAAAAAAAATTGTTTGGGTTTATGCAAATTGTTCCAGGAATACCGGGCTAAAGCCGCACGATAAAATGTCCGAGGCTCGCGTTTCTCCGCCGATCAGATCGCGCGATTAAGCTCGTATGCGGAATTCTAAATCCCGTCTTCCTATATTTTCCATAATTACACTTGAAATATGTCCGATGAAATAAGCTTTTTGCAATAGTCGTTCAAGAAATAAAGATCCCTGGTCATTACTTTCTGCACTACAATGAAATGGGCGTACAATTAGACGTTAGAGAAAAGAAGGTGAAATTGCAAGTTCTGCAGTTACAAAGAGCGAACCTAAAATTAAGTCGACATTCGACAATCGACGGATCAGCGGTAGGGCTTCGACAAGAAATAAAGACGTTTTGGAGACTGATGATGAGTATACCATATAAAATGTATAATTACCGAATAAGGATCTGATCTTGCTCGAACAAGTTTGATTCCGCGTTCATGAATTACGTGCTCGAGAGCTTGTTAGACGAAGTAGAACTAGAGACGCGTCGTCACGCGTCCTCCATTAAATTAGACTTGTGTCGCCACCTGTCGCGACTGTCGCACACGACGTATCAACATGAATCCGCGGGTAAATTGTATTATCCTGCGGATAAGTCGCGTTAGACCAGAGCACAAAACAATTAGGAACAAGAATATAGATACAAGAATTTCAACCTATTCAATCAGAAATCGTGTATTCCATAAAGTCCATGGTTTCTGATAGATTGAAATTCTAACATTTATTATTATTACTTTATTATATTGATACTATTTTTTTTATATATTTTTCCTGTTCTTAATATTTTCTTTATTGTGCTCACGATTTTAGAATCTATCAAAATAATATATAAATTGAGAATAACGCAGTGGCGCGTTCCCAAAAGCATCGACAAACTAATAAATATTCGAAATCTTATCAAATCTTATCTTATAATAAATCTTATTATACAGCTACAAATCATGAATCTAATACTGCATCCTATAAATTATTCAAATATTTATATCGATGATTTAAAAATTTCATATTGATATTATAGTCGCTACACGTCAGTTACCTTCGGGCTCCTTGGATAATTGATGATCGCGAAAATTTACTCATGGTCGATAAGTTTTAACATACCTCGAATTCTCAAAGAATTATCTTACCATTTGTATCGATCGACTTAATCGAGGCGCTAGATGGCACTTGACGCGACATCTGACGGCGACGCTATGCAAATCGTGGGGTCGGCGAATAAAGTCAGAAAATTCCGTAAGTATATCTGATGCAAGCTCCGGGCGGCAGGTGCAATACGTTGCGTGTCTCGCGATCGGGTAAAAGTAGCGGAGTAAAATCCCATCGATTGCGCCACGTTGCACGATTCTGCGTGACACAGCGGGGGGAACACGGGCGACGTTAGGAGATATCTGGATTATTAATTGTTAGTTGTCAACGCGAAGCATCGTTATCACCTTGTCAACATATGGAGTACTATTGGTGAAACGGTATCTCCGACCTCGTATCCCGGTTGTTTCGCGATCGTCATCACGATCGGCAGTCACACGCCTACGTCGCGCGCGCGGCGCGACGCGATGCCATATTTGGAACGAACGGAAACTTCGGAGAGCGATCGATCGCGATAACGTGAAATCGAAGATCGGGATCTCGTGTCGAATCGCTGTACTGCATATAAGTTTTCGAAATGCCGGATGTATGTACAAGAGGGAAAGAGAGAGGAGAGGGTGTCATCGAGCGTGAATGAATCACGCGCCGAGTAACGGGTCGAGAGTTTCGGTTCGAATTTGGCGCCCGCGCGAAGCGGCGCGCGGTGTCGGCGTATCCCGGAGCGGCGCGCACGCGCGGCGAAGTGGCGCGCGTTCGCGCCGTCGCGTCGTCGCGGCGGGCTTGCGGGTCGGACTTTAGCATCGGACGTTGCGGTAGCGGCAAACGAATCCGATTGGGCGGCGTGGCCCACGAAGGCCACATCCGGCCAGCGGGGCCGCAGTATTGGTCGATCGCGCGCGACGGCATCACGACGATGGTGGCGAGCGAAGTTGGTCGAATTTCCTATATATATTATTGATAAATAGCTCGCGTCGTTGCCGAGTGCGACTCTCCGTGTGAAGCGGCCCCGAGGCCTGGAGCAACCCAGACGGGAACGGTGTGCGCGTTGCTGTGTCCGTCCGATCGCGCGTGGTGCTGAACCTACGACGGTTACCTCGGCCACCGTGTGCGCGAGGCGTTTCGCGTGACGATATCCGTGCGTGCGTGCGTGCGTGCGTGCGTGCGTGCGTGCGTGCTTGCCCCGGGCGTGCTTCTCTCCGCGCGTGGAAGGAAGGAAGCGGTGGTGGCCCCGCGCCGCGCGGACGGCCGATGTGCACGTACGACGTACCGTGACGACAGTTACGTGAGAGGAAGAGAGTGGGAGAGAGAAAGAGGGATACGGAGTCGGCGAGAGAGGAAGAGAGAGAGAGTGAGACAGAGAGCGAGGAGAGAACGCGCGCGCGTCGCCTCGCAAACGGAGATCGGCGGTGGACGGGAGCAGCCGAGCGCGAACGACGAGGATTATCGTGCGCGTTTCTGGGTGTGACGGACGTGATCGCGATTCGTTTATCGGTGCACCGCACGTACCGGCGACATCGTGCACGAGGTGGTGTTGTGCGCGAGAGTGGCCCCCGAAGGGCCGGGGCCCAGGCAGCGTTCCCTCGCTAAAGCCTGCGGCGCTATCCCACGAGAGCATGCCGAGCCCGGCCACGAAGAGGTGAGAGCGAGTGAGATGGAGATAGGGAGGGAGCGGGCGAGCGAGCGAGAAAGCACGAGCATGAGCGTAGCATAGAGAAAGAGAGAGAGAGAGAGAGCGAGTGAGTGTGTGAGAGAGAGAGAGAGCTTGAGCGATAGAGGGAGAGAGAGTGAGCGAGCGAGCAAGAAAGGAAGGAGAGCGTGCGTTGTAACCCGTGAATCCGAGGGAAGCGACTACCTTCGAGGCCTGTTTTTTGCTCCGCCATTGTACATCGCGAGACGACCGACCGTTCGTCCGATCGTCTCGCTGACGGCACCGCTCGGAGGGAGCCGCTCGTTTTTACATGAACGACGCGCGGGCGTGTTCCTGTACGGCGTCTTCGCCGTTCGAAGCGGAGCGACGGAGGAGGTGAGGAGGAGGAGGAGGAGGTGATGGTGTGGTGGTGGTGGTGGCGGTAGTGGTGGTAGTGGAGGAGGTGGAGGATATCGGTCGTCGTCGCGGCCCCCGGTCATATCGCCTGCGTGTTCGCGTGTTGTTGTTCGAGTTGTGCTGCTGCTCCTCCTCGACGCGACGACGACGACGGCTCGCTAAAACGCGCTCGATACTCTCGCCGTCGGTCGTCGCGGGAACGAAACGCGGGAGCGCGCCGACGGGGAAGGGGGAGGTAATAGTGGCCGATTCCTGGTAGAGCAGCAGAGTGGCGCGTCCTTTCGCGGAGCAGAGCTCCACTCGCGCGTTCTCGCGCGCGCGGGTCGCGACGGCTTCGTCGGGATCATCGCCCACGAGAGCATCGCGCGCTGGTGTGCTACAGCGAGACTTACGTTCGCGGATGGTCATGGGACTCCCGAATCTGCTGATCATTTCGAGCACTTTCCCGGGGCAGAAATTCTTTCTCGTGGAAATGGATTCCACACGTAAATTCTCCGATTCTCTCACGGCCGTTTTTGTCGTTTGTCATTGACCGGATAGGATAGAGATAGAGCAGCAACAGCGTAAACCGGCACTCCGTGAACTCGCCGCCGCGTGCTAGAGCGCGTTCGTGGAGCATCTTGCGAAACGTTCCGAATGTTCGAAAAATGTGCGGCACGACGCGGTGCGTTATGCAATAGACGCCGCGCGCGCGGCGTGCGGTCGGCGACGACGACGACGACGACGAAGATGACGAAGATTAGGAGTAGGAGGAAGAAGCGGCAGCAGTCAGCGCGCGGCTCTCTCGTGGCTCCGTTCGTCGTTCATTCCTTTTCATTAATCCACCGTGAGCGTATCACGTGGTAATGCGTCAGACCGTGTGCCGCTGCTTTAATTTACCTGTGTTATGTGTGCGCGCGTATGTGCGTGTTTGTGTGTGTATGCGTGCGTGCATGCGTGTGGATGCGTGCGTGCGTATGCTGCGGCGGCGTGATGAATAAAATTACGGTACGTCGCGCCGGAAGGCGCGTGTCTCCCCGTGAGCGGAGGAGAGAATTCGCAACCCTCGGGAAAAGAGGGTCCCCCGCACGGCTCCCTTTCCCTCGCTATCGGTCCTCCGGCGCTTCCTCCCTTTCCTCCCGCCTTTAGCCCCGTCCTCCTGCCGGCGCTCCCGGTCGAAGTCTCCCTTCCCTCCCCCTCCTCCCCCTCTTTCCCACCGAATCCTTTTTCCTTTCGGGGTTTTGCCCGCTCTCGATTCCACGTCCCGTGGTTGCCATGTTTCTCTTTCTCTCTCTTTCTCCCTCTCGCCTTCTCTCCCTCTCCTCTCTCTTTCCCTCCTGGTTGAAGCTCATGTTTGTCTCCCTTTGTCTCACTTCGTCGCCGTCGACAATACGCCCGATTGCCCCGTCGTGGTGAAATATCGGGCCGCTTCCGGCCGCGATTGTACGCGCCGCAACGTGTTCGTACGCGTTTTTTCTCATCTTCCTCGCCCCCGTTTTTTTTTTCATCGTGCAAACGCGTGAGATACGCGTGCCGACGCGGCGGATCCCGCGCGGCGAGTCGCGCGCGCCGAGAACGCGCGTGTTTAAATGTTTAAGACGCTCGAGTTTAACAACAATTACGCTTTGCGTCGCGACAGATCGGAAGAGGACGCGTGTGCGTTCCGGAGCTCCGACGTTGATAGCGATACGCTTTGATAACGAGGGAACGGCAGGGGGGGGGGAGAATAAGGAGAGAGGAATTTGATTGATAAGCGACCACGATCGTGGATCAGCTGGCTCCGCCGACTCGTAGTGCGTTTCTCGGAACGTTAAAAAAAAAAAAAAGAAGAGAATTTCGTAAACGTAGTCAAGATTTACGCTACCCTCAACCCCTCCCCGCCCGTAGTAGTATCGATTGAGATTTGTTGTTTTGTATTATCGCACTGGTAATCATGTGAGTCATTTGTATGTATCGGCCGCCTACGATACATACATACACGATGGGTGTCTCTCCGTGTCGTCTGCTATCAATTGTTCTTCGACGCCCCGTATCGCGCTCCCCCGTATTTGCCGATTTCGTTTTATTTCTCAACCGAGCCGCTCCCGGCGAGTTTTGTGCCGCGTTCGCGCCCGCGGGATCCGCGACACGATTCGACTACGTTTTATTGCGCAATATTATCCACGCTGAAATACCGCAAACATTGTAACTATAGCAACGCCGTGTCGTCGGACGCACTTTGAAAGTTCGAATTTTATTGTGTATATTGCGATCTGAAATAGACTTCGGCGTGGAGCCGAATTGCTGATTTGAGTGAGAGGAAAGGGCGAATCGCGCGCGATTTTGCGACCGAAGGTAGATCACTTTTTTCAAACTGCCATTTGCTACAAGATATTATTTTCAAATGCATTTTGACACACATGCGCGCATACACAAAAAACACACACACAGCGAACGGTAGAAAATACTGAGTGTATCAGGAATATATAAAAATTACAGAATTAAACACAGCTTTTTGATCGTTGATTACTTACAAGATTATAAGAATCAGATAAGATAAAACCGTCTGAAAATTAAACGACGTAACGTCTTGTTAAGCGTGACTCATCTATTGAACAGCTTGGGAATCTATTCCAATTGCACTCAATGTATCGTTCAACTCTCGAGATTTGCTCGGGATTTACAAGTACTGTCTAAATAATTCTTCGCAGGCTTTTTCAGAAGCGTAGAAAAACGGCACGTAGTTTACAATTCGTGAGGAAAGAGAAGCAAACGCAGGATGGGAGCGGATTGATTCGCGCGCGAAACGAAAGTTGCGGCGTGTACGCTCCCGCCTCCTCTGCATCGAGGCGCATCTCGCTGATTCGCGCCGAGCCCGATGGGTACTCGGACTCAGACGCGAGTACTCGACCGTAAAATGCTTTCCTGGAATTAAGCTAATGATCGTGGTTTGCAGCTTTCGCTGCAGAAGCGCGCGGCGCGCGTCTTACGCGAGACGCGGAGCGTGTACCGTAAGGGCGTTTGTGGATCTGGCGTTACCTCCTTTTCTCTTCTCTCTTTTTTCAGGGCGCAGAAGAAGAGCGGCATGCGGAACGTGGTGCACCGGATAGCCCCTGTCTCGGCGCGCTCGGAAATATTTTAACAGCGCCACGTCGTCAACTGTAGCGAGCGGTGAGAGAGAAAGAGAAAGAGAGCGAGAGAGAAAATATTGCGCGGGCACAAAGTCCGACTCTGGGAAGTTGTCGCCCTAAAACTGAATAGCGTCGTTGCTACGACTACAGGAGAATCGTTATTATCATTGTTGTCATCGTCATCATCATTATCGTCGTTGGTTGTGTGGTGAGACGTTTTTCGTTTACGTTGCGGAGAGGACAGGCTTTGGGAAATACGCTTAAGAAGACGTCAAGTATGCTACGCTTCCTCAAACGTGGAAACGAAGTGAGTTAGATTCATGTTTGTGACTCCATAATTTCGCACTGCTTTGTTCGGGACGAAGTCTATTGCGAACGAGCGTGCACGCTCGCGCGCACGCGCACGTCTCGCGGCACTGCTCCAACGGCAGTTATCTATGTGGCTTAAAAAATGTTATGTAATTTTGCGTAACGCATAGATAACCCCGTTTGAACGTGCGATTAAAGGACTTGGCACTATTAAGTTTTTTTTTCTCAAAATTCTTTCATTGAAAGACACATGACACTTATTTGCAAAGTTAAAAGTATAATATCGTTATCTGAATTTATATCAAATTCTACGTAAGTCTTGTTGCTTCGATTATTTGGTTTCTTAAAATTTATGCAATGAAACGCGACGAGGCGATGATGTAATATTTTGGACTTTTGCAGGAAACCGGTATCACCTTGTGATAAACAATGGATCCATGATCGATAACATGGGAGATTCTGTGGAAACGACGTAATTACGCGGCCGCGGATGATGGCAGGCCAATGATAAAACTGTTTATTAGAATAAAGCGGAAACAGTTGGGACAAAGAGTCAAGTCGAACGAAGAGTCAGTCTGAACAGGGCGGCGGACGGTAAGGGAGGCAGGACAGAGCCGTAGTAATGGATGAATGGGAGTGAGCGCGGCGCACGGGGAGTGCAGGAGCGGCGGACGCGCACTTTGTGGCACGTCGTGGGAGCCTCTGAATGTGGAGGCCGCGGCACTGGCAGCGTCAGTGGCAGTGATGGCCCCTGCTCTGACGGAAGGCGGTCCTCAAAAGCCTGAAAACTTGCTCCCTACCCTACCAGCCGCCAGCGGCTTTCTGTCCGCCGAACAGGCCACGCAGGTGTGCCAGGACCGTGAGATCTTGACCAAGTTTGTGGTGCCGGCGAACGTGCAACCGTCGAAGATCGACGAGCAGTGCTTGCGCGGTATCTCAAAGGACCTCATACGCGATGTCATTAACTCCAAGTACGCAAACGACCTCGACTCGCTGTCCGCGTTTACGAACACGTCCGACTTGATCGGATCGAGGAACGGTGCGGCGAACTGTTTGCAACAGCAGGCGGCGGCGCCGGCGGCGGCGGCGGCGGAGGCGGCGGAGGAGGAGGAAGAAGAGGAGGAGGAGGACTTTGAGCGGCCGGTCACGCTGCCGGACGCCGGTCACGCCGAGGGGAAGGTGATCGACATTATAATGAACGACCCATCTATGGGTGATCAAACGAACAACATGGGTTTCTTGAAATCGAACGTGGACTTGCCCCTGGTGGCTACCGAGACCGAAACGGAAGACAATAAGAATCTGGACGTCGATCAGATCATGGCCTTCGGCACCGATATCACGGCCGAGCAGTGCAACATGGCGAATGTCGCTGATATCGGGCACAACGTGGAAGAGATATTGCAGGTCATTAATTCGATAGAGGGTGCGGAGAGCACCGAGAACATTTCCACGGACGGTGTTGAGCCAGTGCAAGGCGCTGTCGACAGCGTGGAGATGTTTGCCATGCCTGAGGAGGGATTCGCGTCCTTTGAGCGGGATTTACTTAACGACGTGGACGTAATGAGTCTTTGCAACGATAATATAAATATACCAGTGGACACGGTGGATCAGCAGAAGTCGAACAATTTGAGACTGCAACAGGACATTGTGATGCAGAAACAATTTGAAAGCGAGAGGAGATGTGCGTTTTTATTGAGAAGACTGAGAAAACTTCAGACGAGAATAATAGGCAGACACGTGGCGGAGGAGAATACCGGCGTTCTCGAATTGGCTCATCACGGAGTTAAAAAATATCTTTTACAAGAATTGGCTAATATTGGCTCGAAATCCAATGTGAGAAACTTTCCCGAGATTAGCGGCAGTTTGCGTTCGTTTCTGCAGAGAATCGAGAAAATGTGCGTTGCTCAGAGTAACAGTGTGAACCGTCAAAGAGTGTGCCGATACTTTGGTGGAGGGTCGCGCGATAACGTGGGTGGTGGTACGTCCGGCAGTAACGGTAATCGCCAGCCAATGTTTGGTACCCCTCAGGTTAAACTAAATGGTGAAGAAGTGGAAAATGTGGCCGGATCTTTGTCCACGCAATTACATATTGTGGAATCTAACTTGGATTCGGACTGTACAGCATCCAGTAGTGGTGGAGAAAGTTGCGATGAAATGCAGACGTTTAACAATACACAACAACAGCGTCTGTCCATGTAAGTTATACGTTTAATAAGATATTTAATAATTAATTTAATATTAAGCACGAATGCATTCACACGTTTTACCTTCGTTCACTTTTGTACAACTTTGATTTTTGAATATTGATCTATATTTCTATTTTGTGCTTATTTAAGATAAATATATTCTAACTAAAATTGTGTCGCTTTACGAGGAAAAGAAATATAAAGAAATAGACTGTTTATTCAGTTTGAATGTGATAAAAGTACTCCAAATATTTCTGAATTATTTTGAAAAAATTATTTTTTATATACATTTTATTATATAATAAGCAATTATTTATCAAATAATAAATTGTTATAAATGACCGAGTTCTTATGATTATTAAAATAATTTAGTAAAGATTTTGTTAATTATTATTATCAAAAATTTGAGTTTATCAATTGCTTCTTTTGAAATTGATTATATTTGGTTTTGATATTTTCCTAGCAAGAATTTAATTTAATATTATTGCTATTTAATCTTTATTATTAAATATTGTAGTGGAAAGTCTAACTTTTTTTATTGTTTACACTTTTAAATATTCTAGATGATTTTTAGATAGGATTCCTAAAATTTTGTAATTTTTTTAACTCAAGAATTATACCTCGATATAAAAATAAGCAGTGATTTCGTTAATTTGGTTACTAATATAAAGTTTTGAAATTTTTTTGATTATTACATCAAGTAATAAATATCACCGCAGTTGAAGAAAACGGACCGAAATATGTTTTTTGGCTCGGTTCTGGTTTCTTTATCTTTAGTTTATTTATGAAATATTTTGTTTCGAAAACACGTTTGTAATAGTTTGACGTTTGACATTCGAATTTAACGCGTTTATGTAGCTGCAACAACATTGCAAATTGTGTACGTTATATTTAAGTGATTCTGTAAAGTGATGTGGTAAAAATAATTTCTTGTTAAATTTGTCGAGTCCATATGCTTCTTAAAGTCTCGGCATTTCGTCTAGTTTTTACGATAATAGGCTACACTGATTTGTTACACAACGTATAATTCTTTAATCTTGCAAATCAGTAGGCCAATCGTATTGTTACATTATTTGCACAGATCCAAAAGAGCAGCATGGAGATATGCACAGGATCGTGCAGGTGTAGCATCACGTTGGACCTGGCTACAGGCACAGATATCAGATTTAGAATACAGAATTAGACAGCATAATGATCTGCAACGGCAGATCAGGGCCGCGAAGGGCCTGGTCGTTCTCGAAAATGCGGAAACCGTTAATGGATACAGTGGCGCTCTACCAGGGTCCACTGGACGATACAATTCGCCCGAGGGTGAATTACCAGCTAGTAGAACGCGTCCATTTGTATGGAATTTTTATAGAAAGCGAAAGCTTTTGCAAGTGGACAGGCTACACGAAGTTTCAAAGCGTGCAGCTAAAGCGTCAACTGTGAGATGCAATTGTGATCATGTGTTGCCTGCGTGTGCTTTATGTACAGGAAGGCTAGATCCAATGCAGCCACAAGAACCAATTGAACAGCTTTCTGTACAGGAACGTGTAGCACTTGTTGATCCCAGTTATCATCCGGTGTTGTCATTCTCTGATGGTATGTTTACTCATAAATGTAAAAAGATTTCAATAATTTCAAACAAGGCTGGTGTGTGTACAACAAATAATAGGGGGGAAGAGCGAAATTCGACCGAGGCTAGATTAGTTTTAATTTTTGAATGTTTAAATTTTTATTGTACACAACCGTAAACTGCGCGCCAATTACTGTCGGTTTTTAGAACGCTATTATAATTGAAAGCAGAAATAATTATATAAAAATTAAAAATATTACTATACAACCAATTTCCTGCCTTGATCGAATTTGGCTTTTTCCTCTTATTATTTGTTGTCAAAAGATTCCATTGTTTAAGTTGGAGCTTTATTCAATACAAATACGTTGATAGAATTTAATATATATATATATAATCTAGAAAATTATGCTTTGTACGTACATTTGCAGATTAGTCTTCTCTGCAGTGTTACATTTTTTAATATTTGAATGAAAGCTCAAAATTGTTGAATATAACAATGAAAAATTTTCTGTATACTATATTATATCTCTCACGTCTTTTGTTTATTGTAGAAATTGTACATGGAACACATTTAGAAGCTATTATGAAATCAGTGGAATGGCAGCAGAAAATGATGAGAGGCAATTTGCGAGTTACCCGTGTGAAAGATAAAGATAGCAACGAAAGAAGAAATAAAAAACTTCCTAATAGAACAAAGTATACCGCGCGATTAAAGAAATCATCCTCTACTATTCTTACAGCAAGTACGTATTACGAGGACGTTATTTTGCAATCTATCGTTCTTGCTCAGTAAAAGAGAATGAGTCACTCCCGTTGTTTGTTTTTTCTTGTGGTGCGATATAACGTATATACCTTCTCTTGTAACAGGGATCAAGAGAAAAATGTTGAAAAGCGAAAAGAGAAATAGACTCAGTCACGAGAGAAGCGTGCCTGGATTGAGTAAGAAAAAAGTATCGAAGTTGCCGACTGAGGATGACGACGACGTTAGCGCGCTTTCAAGTTCCAGCAAACACTCATCCCCAGTGCCTTCTCCATTGCAACACGTTACTGCCTCGACGGAGAAAAACGTTGTTAAAGAGAAAAGTTCCAATTCACATGGGTAAGCGATGCCAGCGTTCACGCATCAATTGCTCTTCCATTAGCGAGATCACTATATATCGATCCGGCACGCGAAGTTTTCCATAATACGGCGCGCGAGGTACTTGAGAATATGAAGTGGAGGAATGATTATATTTCCTATTCATGAAATCGTCAGCCGTTATCGCTCCTGTCAATTCGAAAGATACTAAAGCATTCACAAACTATCCATGACTCATTTGTGACATTTTGTGTATATATATATGTATATATATATATATATATATATACATATATGTGTGTGAGTGTGTGTGTGTATGTGTGTATGTATTTTTTCAGGCGTTTGCGACAAAACTCTTACGACATCGACAATATAGTCATCCCTTATAGTGTCGCTGCTTCAACTAGACCTGAAAAGTTACAATATAAGGAGATATTAACACCAAAGTAAGATATTGTATATTTATTTATAATTCACGATTATTCTAATTTCTGAACAAATTTAATGTAAGATTATTAGTGCTGTATTATATTAAAGCATTTCCCTATTTTTTATTCATTAAAGATGGAGATTGTGCGAGGAACCCTCGAAAATGGATGTGAAAAATGGTGTGATGCACAGGCCTGATCCGGACAGTGACGTAAGTAAATAATGAGAGAGATAATCACTTATATACGATAAAAACTAGCACGGTAAAATCATATAATCTATTATTTCCTCTTTCATAATTATGTTAATTCGTTGTTTGTATGATTCTGTTAGTTCGAAGATATGTCGGACGAAACGATCGCTCTGAGGCACGAGCGTAGCGAGCGCGAGGAATACAAACGTTTCATGACGTATCTCAATACGCCAAATCAACCACGTATTCGTAATCGTCGTATCGACAGCAGAGCAGACAGCGGTGCGAACACACCAGGTATGTCGGCTCGCGTTTAACTATGAACATTCATTATTCCATTATTACGAGCTGTTAACTCTTCTACACTTGCGTCTTTCACGATATTTTTTAAATAATTTAACAAAGGCACTATTGAGTTACTTATGTTTTAAATAATTCTCTTGATATAACAGCACACAACTATCTAACAGTGCATCGATGGAATTACATTTTTATGGAAAAAAAACAATGTTCTGTTTCAGATCCTTTGTCGCCGCACGCGAGCAGTGACTTCGGTGGAGACGTGACATCTCCAATCACATCTCCCCCTGCCACTCCGTCTCAGGTGCAGGACACAGAGTCATCGGGTTTAGATTCGCATCGATCGTCTGCTTTACAAAATTCTTTGCGACGTCGCACCATGCCCGCTTTAAGACTCGGGAGAGACGATGCCACAGCCGCATTTACCGAAGATGATAACGAGGTAAGTACACGCGGTAACGATATCTCGTATCGCGTTTAATATAAATAATAAGTAAATATCGCGTGACATCGTCGTGTAACGTCCTTGAAATTTTTTCGTACAGATATTGCCGTACGAGCCAAGAGTATTCCCATTATCCGAAGAAGCTTACGACAAGATGCTGGAAGTGATGCCAGACGGACATTGGCAGGCCTCATCAACGTCTTTATGTTCCCGCGACGGCGATAAGGGCGATGATGTACGTACATTATACTTGTACTGATATCTCTTGCATCGAGTATCTAAGTGAGATAAATTTTAATCATATAATAAAATGTATGTGGGTGTTAGTACTGACTATTAATATACACTTTGAGCCAACTTTCATGGCTCCTCTCGAGGCTATTTCCGGTAAGCAGTACCACTTGACGCTTCATACTTCTGTATAACGTAATTCATTTTATTTTTCATCTCACATACACATATAGACACACGCAATTAGCAAAAATTGTATTTAACGATGAAGAAAGGTATCGCGTTAAGATTAATCGTATTTACGTATTTTCCATGCGTTATAGAATCTTTTACACGACTCTAGTTTGCTCCTTGGTTCACGCAATTACCGTTTATGAGAGCTTGCAATCTTAAATTAAAAGTTTTTTCGCAAAAGCGGACCAATCGGGTCGATAGGTGACTGCCGACGACGACGGTCATGTTTAACCATTCGCTATTTCTACGTTTCTAGGAAGCCGAAATGGATTCTCCCGAATCGGATTCGACCGAATCGGCTTGTTGCGATATAGATGGTGAGGATCCCAATGATCCCGAATGGACGGTAGCTGACGATAGAGACACTGAGAAGGAGAGAATACGTCCGACGGCTAAAAGATAGGATATAAAACCCTTAATAAGTACAGTATATCTACATCGTTACTATATGCAGAAGCTACCTGTCAATTGTTATATATACCTGTCGGTCATGTAACATTGCACCTTAAGTTAATTACCAACCTGTAAAGTGTATTATAAATATAAATTTTATAACTTCATTCTCTCTGCTTAAATTAATGGAAATACCTTAATTAATTATTATTGCTTTTTTTTTTAAGTATTGCTATTTTGGCCAAAGCAGTAGAACTCTAGCGTCATATTACGTTTAGAATTATTGATTTTTCCTGCTCTGTTACACATAGTAGATAGTATTAATTCTCTGAAAGAAGTGGAATCTCATGACAAATTGTGCGGTTTTGTACAAAAACTGTATTTATATTGCGATCGGAGCTCTTCATTTTAAATAAAAGTGCCAATCGAAATGTTCTGTAGCACTGTGTACCTTCCAATATATATATATATATACACACATGCTTTTTCTATTTTGCGAGAGAGAATATACACCGCAGCCTGCGTGACATACTCTACAAGAAGTGTTAATATTACAAATGCTTAAAATGTAACGTTACTATTTTATCAATTATGTCAAAACTTGTATTTAAATCCTTGTACATTGTCCGCCACGAAACTCTTGCACCTAATTTCGCAAACGTAATTTATGTAACAGTCAAAATCAGTTTCCTTAGCATGGATTTTTTTTTATAGAGTTAAGATAATCCCGTTTTATTTTCGTATATGACCGAGTCGTGTCTTAAGATATTACTATTACATTATACAGGTAAGGATAATGTTATAAAAATTAAAAATTATAAAAGAAAAATTGTAAATTTATGTATCATAGAAGATATTCTTGACATAGCGTGTGAAATTTGATGTAGAACAGAAACTACTAATAATTAAAAATGTGTTATCAGTTAAATTCTGACACTCTGTATTTTGACTGTTATGTTCTTATCATTGGTATAATTTGTGAAGTATATATATTCACTTGTTAATTTAAGCGTTCATATAAATAAAGTCTTGTGTCACTGTGATTTCGCAATTTTCTAATAGTCTGTGATACTACATGTATTTTCTTTCGTATTAAAAGTTTTATAACCAGGTAAAATAATGTCTATGAATTCTTAAGAGTCGCATGCGTTTCAATTTTGTATATCACTTTTACGAGATGCAAATAAAAATAGGTGACAACAGAAATTGTTCTTTCTTTTACAACATGCAAATTCTCACGTGCAAGCATTCATTTATACGTATATACTTCGTGATGTTGGATCGTAATAAAAGAAAAATGCTGAAAATAGATAAGTATTATATTTATGTATATTTCTACACACATATATGTATATATATATGCTTATTTGTCTTCAGCATTTTTCTGTTATTACGATCTAACATCACGAAGCAAATTTTGACAGTTTAATACGATTCTGCATCTTTTTAAATCTCACTTTATAGTAATTAATTATAATCGATAATATCGAAATAATTAGAGATAATATATACATTATTATTAGGCCAACTGCATACGCACAAGACTGAAAAATAATATTATTATTGAAATATAAAATTACGTTTTTATTTACAAATTTTCGTATAATATATTTTAAAAATAATATGATAAAAGTACAAAAATATAGATTGATAACAGATGATCTGATATGATAAGGCAATTTAAAAAAATTTATTGTTAGATCATCTATTTTTATCCAGATAAATTGTGAATTTATTCATCAGGTGTATGTATCCCAGTTCCAAAACAAATGAATTCAGTATCCAGAGTTTCTATGTCTACCATGACTGCAGTATGCGTAGAGGAAAACTTTGGAATACAAATTAGTCTGACCATCTGATTTTCTTCACCTACAAATATTAAATGCACTTTGATAATTGCATAAGGAGACAACAAAGAATGTACGAATGATTACGTTAATGTCAAAAATAGCGAAACAAATATATGTTCTGCGAATATTTCATTATATGGTACTTTTTAACATAACTAAGATATAAGTATTCTTTTATCAATTTTGTAAAAATGTAAAATATTCAACTCTTCTATGATATATTTACCTTTCCACAGTTTTGTTTCGACTTTATCCGTGTTACCCACAAAGTATATATCCGGACAGTGGTTTATGATAAATGGATCTTTCACAGAGTAGGGATATATCGGTAATGTGTCCGGAGCAGTCGGACACATGTGCTTCCAAACCAGCGTTCTTTCCAACCAGCCTAAAGGAGAGATGTCTGTCTCGCCGGCTGCTTTCATAATATCTTCAATAGGCTGTCCGCTGCTGCCCATTATTACACGTTCGGCGACTTTGCCTATCCACGGATTGGTCGCTCCTTTAAAACTTTCAAATCTGAAAAGATATTATTTCTATGAGAATTGTATTTGCATGTGGATTTTAGGATGGAAAATCTTAAAGATATCCGTAAAAGTTTGAAAAAAGATTAAATTATATATAGATATCAATTCTGAATTACTGCAGAAATTTTTTTGTATAGAGATATGCAGAAGTTTGTATAAATAAACAAAAACAACTTTAAAATCTTATTCCTTTGCTATGCGATGATAGGAAAAAAAATTGTTCAAACAGCTCTACAGAGTTGTAATCTTATCTTGTTCATTGAGAAGTCGGAATGTATATCTACTGTAATCGGTATGTATATTTACACAATACCTGGACGTTAGTGGCAATATGCATGGATGCAGCGGTTTCTGTGGCAACATTGCATTGGTGGTATCGTGCTGACCCGACATTACGGTAATGCAGCAACATTTTGCTATCTCGGAGAGAAATGAATCTACGAATGTTGTTGCCGTGACGATTTCCTTGATTATAGCGGCGTCCTGTGCCTTCCCTTCGGCGTGCCCCATCAGAGTGTTCGTCTTCGTGACAGTCTTGACCGAATTACCTACGTGGGATTCAGTAATTCACTAAAGCGTGAAAATAGATTGCACTAATGAAGGCATTAAAGATGTACCAGCAATAATAACTCGAGTAATGCCAGTGGCATCTTCTTGTACCGCCGTGTCCCCCGCCATTCCACATATCCATTCGGTTAAAAGGCTTAACGATAAGTTCGTCGAGGTATTTGCCAAGTCGAGTCCAGATAAGAATACCAGCTTTCCTTTGGACTTTGGCTGCGCTGGTGAACTTCTAGGCACGCAACCAGGGAAACACCATTCCTTGATCTGAATAAAGTATCAAACATATACGTGTTTTTATACATACATAAGTAATTTAATTTCACATAATGTACACACTTACCTCAAAACTGCCATTCTTGTCTTTGTAGCCTAAAATGGCACATACAACCCCCGTAACGTAATTCTTCAGCTGTTTATCCTCGACTACTAATTTGATACGCAGCATCTCGTCTTCCAAAAAGAGTTGATCCTTTTCTGAGCAGTAATTCGATTTTGGCTCAGGCAAGGTGAGTTGATGATCCTCGCTTAATTCATGTAATATCGATGGCTTCCACTTTTGATGTTTATAGAGGGTACCAATTATCACGCATTCCTGCCCTTCAAAATCTTCCAACTCTGCTAACTTTAGTATCTGAACGTTTCCTGAAACAGTAAATAAATAAATTTTTTAATCGCTTGATTGTATAATCACAACCGCAAAACATTTGTGTATAAAAATCTTAATTCTTAATAAAGCAGAACTTCAGAATAGCACTGCATAAAGCTCACCCCATTTTGCAACAACTCGTGGTATCAACGTCTCTCTCAACTCTGCCAGTCTCACTGAATATATGTTACAGAATTGTTTGAAGTCGTTCAATTTATCATCAAAATCACCGGTCAAGTCTTCATATTGTACTGGCAATCTCTTAAATTCTTTGTCTTCCGGGCTTGAAAGCAGGTTTTCATTGGACTCGTTAGTTGTATGCACCATTATTAACAAATATATCCTGTATGTAATAAAAAGAATCACGTACATATTACTCTGATAAATCTTTTATGCAATAAAAAAGATATTTAATTATCCATTAAACCTCCACATTTATAGACAATGCTTTAACACAATAATGTGCTCGGATCTATTTATTATACACTATTGTGCATTTGTATTTCTGATATATTAAAATTGTAAAAAATATTAATAATTACTAAAAGCTAAATTTAATCTTTCAATCGCATTTAATTATTCTTCAATTGTTATTTGCAAAATTGTTTTTGTTGATATTCGATTGTGATAAAAACGTGCATCTAGCGACTGTTTATATACCTCGTATCTTCTTATCACAAGAGAAAATTATTAGTTTACATTCACGTGTTTATATAATTTTATTTAAAAAAATAGGAAAAATGCTTTAACACTATATTATATTATATATCTATGGAACGAGAGAGAGACTCTGCGTTGTATAACCTAAAGACCGATACTCCGAAGAGCATTTCAGAAAAAACAAATCTTTTCGTTTTCATTATTCTCTATAGATATCGAGGGCTTTTGCCTCTCGATATTTTCAATGTTGATTCGCATCGCTTTTCACTTACAAATTACATGCGATATTTATTTAAATGCAGCACTGATATCACACGCCGTGCGAGCGCCTTTTCGCGCCTTTTTCGTCTTCGTAAAAGTGATCGTTGTGAGAGCAAGAAAGTACGGCGTTTCACAGTCCGAGCTTAAATTTATGTCCAGTTTCAAGTGACCTCAATATCTTGCTCAGCCAATGGAATGACCGTACAACGTCTCCAGATTTGTGTTTGAGACGATCTTTAAATATTTATATTTTATAAGATCGGACTATGAATACCGTTCTAGGATTCGTCCTTTGGCCCGCGTCAGTCACGCACGTGTGGGACCGACGCGACAGCCAATGAATCTCCGTTTACTCCGGATTTGACTTTCCTTTCTCGTCGGTTGATTTAGTAGTCGCGTTGCTCTCGCAGCGTTAAGTAGTTCCAAAAATTTCAGTTGACATTTTTTTTTTATACATGTCCCATACATTTTTCGAGAAACTTCTCTTCTCACAGCCGTGTCCGAGAGAATTATTATAAAGATCGCAAAGGCAAAAGATACGACGTGACCAAAGTTAAACAACTATAGTTGTTTGATCAACAAATTGATTGATTAATTAATTCACGAAAAGGTAATTCGAATCTTTGAGCCTCTTTTCGATGCTGCAGCACGTGACGCGAAACGTTTGCTATGTATAATTTATTTCAACTACTGTTTATGGTTTATAAGTGATTCAAGTTAATGTTTATGCATATATATATGTAGATTTGTTTCCTTTACATAAATTAAAATTACCTTGAAATTAATGAATTTGAAGTAAAATTATCCTCGGTCGTATCGATATTTTTATATCTTAGAACATATATTACATATTTCACGGTTGGAACGAGAGATTTTTAAATGGCATGTTTACGCTTTTTTTTTTATCGAAACGCAAGTGTTTGATTTCTAAGGTGAAGATCGACGTTCACGGAGTGTAACGTTAAAAAAAAAGAATAGAAAAAAGCGAAACAGAGAAGTAGATATTTTATTAATATATAAACGATTTAATTTATATTTATATATTCGTATAGCTGCATATATAAAAATTTAACAGAATATATATTTCAAGTTTATGAATTCGGCCTTTATATATTAAAAAGCATAAATATTACTGAGTATACAATACATCGATGTTTACAGTCCTGAAGTATGCGAATGACAACACTGAATCTATCAACAGAGCTAAATCTCTGCTAATAAATATTCCAGATTTATTGTCCTAGGGGGAATATATTAACTCGTCTTGGCTTTATTAGATACACACATATATAATTAGACTCAATGGTAATAGTTTTTAATGTTGCCTTATTTAATCAACAAATATACATCTTGTTTCCAAATCAATTAATCTCTAAGAGTATCTTAGGAGAAAGATAAAGAAAAAACTGAGGAAAAAACTGTCAAGGAGAAGCAAGACCAAAATGAGACAGAGCTTAGAATTACAGACATACATTTAATGATTAGACGAAAAAAAACGACATTATATCTCGACATGTTGGAGACTGACACTGTTTTCGAACTTAAGAAAAGGATCGAAGGTATAACATCATAAGTATAATAGTATCTCGAGAGATATGTAGAGATGTAACAGCGAAATCATTTTACTCTCGGCACATCATCGCGATTATTATCTCAATAGAGACGTTAATACTGTGATCAATATATATATATATATTTTACAGCCATATTCAAAGTGCAGCCAGTGGATCAACAGCTATTTATCATGTCTCTAAACGATAAGGAGTTTGACAAGCCCGTGGAATTATCCAACCCTGTTAAAGCTTTGTCCGAGTACGACCCAACTTCACCGCTGGCAATGATAACGAGTCCTGCAATAATCGGCTTAGCTGTGCGACAAGAGGATGGTTCGCTGTTTGAAAGTCTCGAAATAACAAAATATTCGGACATTCCATGGTCAGTAGTATCAGATCTTTTGAATGAGAAATTCGTTGAAGACTACAAATTCGCTGAAAACTACAAGAAAGTCTTGAAAGATCTCAAAAGAACTAGGATCCCTAAAACTGAAATGATAAACTGAAATGATATATCACACCAAAATTAATCGACAAATTTTGTGTTCTGTTGCAATATAGTGTTCGAATAGTCAGAATAGTGGAGCAAAGCAAGAAAAATGTATTGAAATGTACACAGCTGCGTTAAGCAGAGAAAGCAGCTTTGCAACTGCTGTAAGATTCTTCAACACGATTGGTTCTTGCCCTGAGTTCTTCATGGATCTAAATGCCTTCCCCCCTCCCCATGCTATTGTAAAAACCAATCGTAAAGAATTTTACAACAGATGCATAGCCGTTTTTTTCTGCTGAACGCAGCACCCAGTACATACTACATTTCTCATTACAGTGCAAGCGATACTTATATAACAATACCCAATAAAGTTAATGGCACTTGAAAAATGTAAGCAGTAAACGAATCAATCAATCATAGTCGAGACCGTAACGTAATAACATAAGTAAATAAAAAGTATTGATTTTCTTGCCGCTTACATTTTTGTATGTGCCAGTACAAATTGTGTTCATATAGGTTATGTATATAAATTTAATGCAGGTAATGCAGAATCGCAAAACTTTACAGTATTGAATTGATTAGGAATATCTATACATATTGAAATTTTTTAACTAAATTCTCGTTGCCTTAATCATACGTAGAAAAGAACAATTATTTTACTTATTAAATAACGACAGAAATGTATATAATAGCATGGCATTTTTCGTAATGCGATTAATACACAATATATTTTTATATTTGCAATTTCTTGACTTTATTTCTTCATGAAACATGAAACGTGTTTTTCCTTCTTAATTTTTTCTTCCTCACGTCTTGCTCTTTTTTTACGAAACGCCAAAGCCTTTGGCAAGAAATAGTTGATGTTAGATTCTAATCACTTGTGTAACACGTGACACGCTTATGTAACTATAGCAACGTCAACAAAAAATAATTCGAAAAAATTTTCTCTTTTTCTATCGGAAACAAGTATATAAAAAAAAATTCAACCGAGGTAAACAAAAATTCCGCTCGTAAAATATGGCGATCGTTCGGTGACCGCGCTCGACCTCTCCCCGAGGAAACGAAAGACACTAGATCGCGTTTCGAAAATCCACACAATTCTGCCATCTCATTTCCTCCACTCCCGTTCCCGCACCCGCGCGAGACGAGTCGCGACGGGCCAATGGGCGACGCTCCCGTTCGGCAAAAGTCGATGATACGGGCTTTAGGAACATCCCGGCAGCAGGCCTGCTCTTGCCACGCCGGCGCGTTTAGGGGAATTCGCGCGTGTTTGCAGCAGCGACGTGTTTACGGGCCGCCCGCATCTCTCGCCGTGTAGAATAGTAATTTGTCCGCGGCGGTTTTTTTATTCCGCTTGCGCCTGGACGAGGATCTCTCTGGCCTGAGAGCAGTCAGGGAGGCAGATAACGAAGAGAGAAGTGATAGTGAATGGGCGTGCGATCGAGACGGGAGCTCTCACTCTCCGTCACCGGAGTGCCCAGCTTGTTTTGTTGATCTCTCTCTCTCTCACCCTCTCCGCTTTCGTTCTCGGGGGTTCGTTCCGCCTGCGCCACGGCCCACGGGATGGACGCGAGCAGCGAGCAGCCGGCCGCGATCGCGACCGCCGAGTCCGCCCCCGCGGGCGAGCAGGAGCACAATGACGAGGCCATGGAGGAGGCGGAGGAGTACAGCTACGAGGGCGACGATTACAGGCACTTCATGCCGCGCGGCCGCGGCGGCTTTCGGTGCGTAATACCGCGACGACGCGCTGCGCGATTTCCCGGCGCTCCGCGGTCATCGCCAGTCATCGCGGCCAGTCCGCGTCTCTTCGTTTTCTCTTGATCCCCCTTCCCCCGACCCCCCTCAACCTCGCATGCTATTTGTGCTCTTCTCGTTATATTTCCATCTTATCTGAGCTGACAGCTATCTCGATTCCATTAATCGCACGTCGCACGTCCCCTTCTTTCTCCCCCCC